CAGTTGCGCGCCCGATACTAGTAGCAGCAGGATTATCAGTTCTAGGTTTCGCGACCAGGACCCCCTCCATCCCCATGACTGTTGGCACTTTTGAGACGCGACCACAACAGACCAGTCAAAAAGTGACGACAGTTCTGCGTTTCGCGACCACGGCCCCCCGCATCCCTGTGACTGTTGGCACTTTTGACACCGATTTCGCGAGGTTTTTGCCACAAAAAACTCGCATAGTCTGCCCCTGCCACGATTTTGCGCTCTCCAAAAACTCTACGCCTGCCACGACTTCGTGACGTTCGAGCCGCCGAAAGCCCTCGTAGTCTGTCTCTGCCACGATTTCCCGCATGTCGAACGACGCCGAAAACTCCAAATCCCCTTAGACTGCCGCGATTCCAGACACACGTCCAGCGCCGCCGAGGAGCCGAATGGTGTGGCCCTGCCACGATTTCGGAGCCCTCGAGCGACTCCAAACCCCAAAAGCGAGCGGGACTGTGGCGAGAGCACGATTTCAGACCCAAACCACGCACGACACTGCGGCGAGAGCGCATTTCAGCGACGAGCAGGTCGCGAAGGTGCTGTAGTTTACAATGAATTCCGCGATTTCGAANNACCGGCACTGTGGCGGGAACGCCATTTTCGTGCAAACTGAGCGCGGCACCACAGCGGGAGCGTCCCTCCCAGCCAAATCCGACACTCGCGGACGCTTGCGAACGCTGGGCACGCATTCCGCGCCAACTCCTAACCCCCAGGCCCCCAACCTTCAAACGAGAACCCTTCTGCTACGCGTTCGGGAAAACATGTTGGCATGAAAAATAGAAGCCGGCATCCATGGGCATAACAAAAAAACCTGTCGACAACGGGATGGAGACATGGAGGTCAATCGAGACATGAAGGTGCACAGCATAAAACTTTAAAATCCTCAGCATAAGAATTAATACAATTTTCTTGGTGTAGCTTGTATACCTATATAAGATAGGTTGGTTTGCGCACACACGCACGCGTACTTGTGGCGACGGTGCGTTTTACAGTCGTGCTCCTTAGACCGACGAAATACATGCACCCTTTCGATACACAAGCTCCTTGTTCCCAAAACAACACATTCTGTGCTGGAACTGTGTCCGTTGTTTACGAAACTTTTGGATGGCATTTTAAGGGGAAATCCCGCACATGCAACAACCAGGCAGACGAAAGCTCAATTCTGTGATTGAAGAAGGCAACAGAAACCGTTCAAGGCTCTTCGTCCCCCTGAGCTTGACCTGCCTTGAGGGCATACTCGGGATCTTCGAAAAGTTCCTCCATGTCGTATTCCCGGAAGGCGGACTGCCTCGGTGCAAAGCAAGATAGTGTAGCGTGTGCTGCCCGAGGGGGAGGGGCAAGACTAGCAGAGGAAAGCCAAAGCAAATCCAGAAGACCAACGGAAAACCTTCCTGTCGAAGGAAAGCTTTTTAGCTGCTGTATGCTGAGAAACTGCGCACGTGTTCACTCGGCTGATGATTCCGAACCTGCTGGGTCTCGCACAGCGCTCTGTAAGCAGAAAGGATTTCAGCCAGCAGGGACGGATCCTTCTCGGCCTCCTTCAAACCTTGCCAGATCTGGCCAGGACTTGCAATTACACCAGCTACAGTGGATGCACCAGACTATGCAATTCCCACAGGTTGCCCTCGCAGTGGCAACCCAGTCCGCCCGCAAAACGGTCACACGGTCAAGGCCTGCAAGCTTTAAGCACACTCACGGCTGAGACCAAGCTCGTGTTGGATGAAGCCCCCGAAGCCCTTTTGCCTGATTATGCTTTCACATCATCGTAAGCATTGCAATCCACTCGGACTCGCACATCGTTTTGTAGACATGCTTCCACACTTGAAAGATCGAGCAGGAGGCTGAAGCCAACACTGAAGACACGACGATCAAGCGAGGGAGCATGACTTGGTGAATACGACTGCACCGATGCCTGCCAATCCTAAACACATCGACATTTTGGATGGAGCATGCTCGGACGAGACTGCACGCACATGGCCGTACGTGTAATTCGCGACTTGGGACCGGGAAATACATGTCAGGCCATGTTGCACGATCTTTCTGTGTCTTGTCTTGAAGCCAAGCAAAATGTTGCAAGCGCCCAGCAGTAAACATGTCAACACCACATGCTTTCCAGAGCAAAATCAAGGTTGCACAGATGTTGGTTTGACGTGACAGCGCGCGAGACCGAGAGCGGGAGCGAGAGAGATAGAGAGAGAGAGAGAGAGAAAGATAGAGTGATAATGAGAGTGCGAGTGAGGAAAAAACGACGCATGTGGTCTGCCGGGGAGGGCGGGGTCGTTGCCAAAATTTGTATATGGACCCTGAGACCGCCACCACCACCAACAAAACAATAACGGGCTGTATGTTCCAAGGTGCCATATGTCTCGAGAGTGCTCATCAAGGACTTGATCAGCCGCAAAAGACGACCAAGCTCTGGTGGGTCATCGAGCAGGTGTTCCATCCCTGAAAGGGGATTGGGAGCTCGCGACTCAGCAATGCGGCTGCAATGATGGTGGGTGTCACAGGAAGAAGGAGAATAGCTGCTATCTGCTCCACTGCTACACTCGTGGGCTACACTTGTGGCCATCTGATGCCCAAATGATCCCGTTAATCCGGCTTTCAAACTATGCTTCGACGTTGCCCCTGAGGTCCTGCATCGAGATTTACTAACATGGGCCGCAATTCAACTGTACTACGACGTCTTCGTCTTGTCTTCAATAGGCTCTCGGCACTGCTCGTGCTCGTTGAACTGCTGCACCGGCATCCAATGAAGCTTTTAGACACTACGGCTGCCTTCATCCCGGAGAACCCGTTCGAAGGCCGTCGTGCGAGACAGGTAGGCACGGAGCGCCGGGAAGGACTCTCGAGGAGGACTTTGTTTCGCCTGCCCATCTGACAATGATTCCTTCTAAGGCAAGTGTTTGGCTGTGTGAGTGCCTATGAACCAGACATCACTTCTGGAATCAGTTCTGAGTCTGATCTCCAATACCAACCGGAACGGCACCCTATTCGGAGTGCATCCGCCTCTGAAACATGCAACTGACATGTTGCCTGTGTGACAAGCTTGCCAGGCAATCCGCCTCTGGTAGTTGCCAACCGTTTTCACCGTTGTAAAGATACCCCATCAAGTGCCATCCAGATTCGACATCCATGTATGCAACACGATTGGCGCAATCCATGGGGCATTGCAACGTTTCAGCCCCAAGCCAAAGAAATCGTTTCTGAGACAAGTCTCGTGAGAGGTCTATAGAGCCTCGAAATGAGCCGTAGTTGTACTGATGTACAGTTGCGTGAAGCGGAAGAGGACTGGGGTCCTTGATAGTTGCCATGAAACCGACAGTTGTGAAGAGTACGCCCTGCATGCGAATCCATCCAGCCGTCCTTGCTGCTCTCCGCCGAAGGCTTTCGAGGTTTCGCTTCCTTCGCGATGGCATTCGTTTCCTTCCCTCCTCGTCCACAGGGTGCACTACTTTCCTTATGGAGTCTACTTCGGCTGACAGCTTGAAGGGCTCAGGATTTAATGTCTCTTTCACCGCCATGCTCCAAGCCTGGGAAAACTGCTGCCACAAGTCCCTGTCGAAGCAAAAGCATGTTTGCTTTGCGAAATTCATCAAGACTCAGCAGATACAAAAAGCAGCCCTTATCACCCGGCATGCTCCCTTTGCAAGGAATAACATTCATCGTTGACCCCAAATCAGGATCAGGATGCTTGCATGGGTATCATATCGCTTGTTCCGCCTGAATCCTCATCCGTTGCCTCGTCTTCGTCAGCCTCCTCTTCCTCGGCCTCCTCGTCCGCATCTTCGGCAGGGTCCTCATCAGCCTCGTCTTCATCATCGTCTACTCCGTCGTCTTCGGCAAAGTCTGCATCCTCAACTTCGCCACCGTCTGTGGTACTGGCTGCCTCGAACTCAACAAGCAGGTTGCTTTGACCCGCTTCCTCGAAGACTTGTCGAAGCTTTGCCATAACCACTCGGTCATATTCGCCTTGAAGTGCAATCACCTGGGCCATGTACATCCGAGTACATTGACACTGGAGCCATCTGGCGCCTGATGCAGGCGCCAGTGACCGACCGGGATGTGGGAGAAGTGTAAAAATGCGTGCTTCGTGAGGAGTTGGCAGACTCAACTCGACACGCCCACTGCGTACCACTGCGTGCCTCAAGCCGATCTTTGAGCTCGTCGCACTCGTGCTGCAGGGCGTCGCGCTGCCCCTGCATCGCCTCCAAGTCCTCTCCATGCAAGCGTGGCTCAGGCTTTTACGGCTGTCATGCTGAGCTCTCATTGCAAAACTGCACGCAGCCCCAAAGAAGGCTGACTCCTTGCTGGGTCACACCCTCAGACCACATCTAGTGCATGTCGGGCCATTGCGTGTTACCCGTGCCTTCGGAATCACAAAGCAAGCAGAAAAACATGCTGACCACAGCAGCCAACTTTTCAAGCATGCTTACCTGACACACGGACAACGCAGCTAAGCCTCCGAAGACCATAGACTTATTATTGTGAAGCCTCCACCCAAGGACTGAAACACTGACGTTGACACCAAGTCCGCGCGTTGCACCCTCGGGAATTCGCAAATTCCCCTGAATCGGGACTGAGGTCCCTCCCGCTTTGACTGTTTGGAGCTCTCGTTCTGTGGCCACGGACTTGTATGCAGTAGCATCGGATCAATGTAGTAAGTGGGACTTGAGATCGAAGAAATGACAGGAAGAACTACAAACCAACAGAAAGCTAGAGGCTTGCTAGAGAGTTCACCTGCAGTCCACGCTAGCTTCTGTGTTCAGTAGAACAAGATCGCTCGAAAGTCAGCTAACAGCTACAACAAGCTTGGTAACCAGCTGTTGACCACCAAGCTCTCGCAACGACCCTTCAAGAGTCCTTGATGCAGGACATTACCCGAAACATCAAAGACTCATTCAACGGCCCCTGAATCCACAAAAGCACGCTGAAAATCCTGAGGCAGCTTCAACCATAACGTACGCCATCACTGATCACCTTCAGCACCCCGTCGCCGTTCCCGTTCTTCCCCCGTTCGGTCCTGAGTCACTTGCTGGAGCTGGGCCTGCAAAGCTGCGACCGTCTCGGAGGCGGCCGCAGAAGACTCGAGGTCTGCCTCTCGTTTCTCCAAACAGGTATCAAACCACCTACTGATGGCTTGATAATATGCCCATTGATAGTCATAGATTAGCAAAACTAGCAGGAATGAGCGGAAGAACATGCGAGTTCTTGTGACTCTTGTTAGTCACCCTTAACAAGATGCTTATGGACCCTTCTGTCAACACAATGCATTTTGCTGTTAGCCTGACCTCGGGTCTTATCATCATATTAGTATCAACATCATTGTCATCGTCGCCCTCATCATTCGGAATGTTGGTACTACTGTCCTTGTTAGCGCAACAGCTATTGGTGGTACTATGATGCTTTTAACCTGATCGCCTACTGTTTGCCGGTTGTTGCTATAGATGTTAGTACCAATATAAAAAAAACACTGTTACAACGAACAGTAGTGGCAGCGGCAGTAGCGGCAATAGCACTGGCAGTAGCACTGGCAGCAGTCGCAGTCGCAGTCGCCGTCGTCGACGGCTTCGTCGTGAGAAGAAGTAAGTAGAAGTAGAAGTAGAAGTAGAAGTAGAAGAAGTAGAAGAAGAAGTAGTAGTAGTAGCAGTAGCAGTAGTAGTAGTAGTAGTAGTAGTAGTAGTAGTAGTAGTGGTAGCAGCAGTAGTAGCAGCAGCAGCAAGAGTAGTAGTAGTAGTAGTAGTAGTAGTAGTAGTAGTAGCAGTAGTACCAGTAGCAGTAGTAGTAGTAGTAGTAGTAGTAGTAGTAGTTGTGGTAGTAGGAATAGCAGTAGTAGTAGTAGTAGTAGTAGTAGTAATAATAGTAGTAGTAGTAGTAGTAGTAGTAGTAGTAGTCAAAGTAGTAGTAAAAGTAGTAGTGGTAGTAGTCGTAGTCGTAGTCGTAGTCGTAGTAGTGGTGGTAGTAGTAGTAGTAGCAGTAGCAGTAGTAGTAGTAGTCGTCGTCGTCGTCGTCGTCGTCGTCGTCGTCGTCGTGGTCGTCGTTGTAGTGGTAGCTGTGGTGTTGTTGGTGTTGTTGTTG